ATTACTCGTGAGACGTCATATGACCCCTTGGTTGGCAGCGCGAGCAATATACATGCCGCAGCAGAATAGATTAATGTGGCCGAGGTGAACCGGGAAACAAAACCTCGCCAGGCAGCACTGAGCCCTGTCTTCATATACTGAACCGGGTTGCAGGTAGGCGCCTATTTGAGGCGCATCTGACGTCGCGACGTCGAGCAACGATGAAGGCATATCGTTGCATCGCAATGGAAGTTAAGGAAAGGATGTCTAGGTGTAAGGCAACGTGAGTCTGGTGTCGAGGCGCGCTAGTGGCTCAAAGCAGCCGAGCTCCGCCTTCGCTCGACTGTGCCCAACCACATCACACATCCCTTCACGTCTACAGCTACGCTAAGTACCGTTGTGGCTGCAACGACCGACCGCCATGAACGCGACAACGTTCCGATATGAAGTCAAGGCGATCTAGTACCTAGATGTCTCTAGTCAGCCTCAAGCTTGCGTTCGCTCCAGCAGACGACAAGTCATTCCAAGCATCCACCCCACGAGCCACCGGTTGACAGACCTGGGACCCTGCTCGGCAGCCGGAGTGCATTGCCTAGTACCCGTTGTAGTACCCCCGCAGCAATACACCTTCATCAAATGTGGAGGCGGGCCGAGTCATGAGCATGGACGTTCTTCGCGAGCTTCGAGAAGATCCGGGGGCGCAAGTACCACATCAGCACATCAAATGACCGAGCGTTGACTGGAGAAGTCTTGAAACCTATCAGCGGCGGCATCACGGACATTCACACCGGCTGAAGTAATTTGGATATTGATGAAGACTTCATGATCGCCAGCACCGGGGTTGAGCTCCAGCATACAAATATGCGTGCTCGCCGGACGTTTCATTCTTCACGCACTCCTCATCACAATCTCTTCTCTCGTCACGATGCTGTCTAACCTTCTCTTCACTGCTGCGCTCGCAGCTGGCGTGGCTCAGGCCCTGCCTCAAGCGACCACCTCGAGGGCTACCACTACCACTCGCGCCACGACGACAACGGCCGCGCCAGCAGCGACTGGGAACCCCTTCGCAGGCAAGGACTTCTACGCCAACCCATACTACTCCTCGGAGGTCTACACCCTGGCCATGCCATCTCTTGCCGCATCTCTGAAGCCCGCTGCTTCCGCCGTGGCCAAGGTCGGCTCGTTCGTGTGGATGGACACGATGGCCAAGGTTCCTCTTATGGACACCTACCTGGCAGACATCAAGGCCAAGAACGCCGCCGGTGCGAAGCTGATGGGTACCTTTGTCGTCTACGATCTACCCGACCGTGACTGCGCGGCCCTTGCCTCCAACGGCGAGCTCAAGATTGACGATGGTGGTGTAGAGAAGTACAAGACGCAGTACATCGACAAGATTGCCGCCATCATCAAGAAGTACCCTGATGTCAAGATCAACCTTGCCATTGAGCCCGACTCCCTGGCCAACATGATCACCAACATGGGCGTCCAAAAGTGCTCGCGCGCTGCCCCCTACTACAAGGAACTCACCGCCTACGCCCTCAAGAGCCTCAACTTCGCCAACGTCGACATGTACCTCGACGGAGGCCATGCTGGCTGGCTCGGCTGGGACGCCAACATTGGCCCAGCCGCAAAGCTCTACGCCGAGGTCTACAAGGCGGCTGGCTCGCCCCGTGCCGTCCGTGGTATCGTCACCAACGTCAGCAACTACAACGCCTTCCGCATCGCTACCTGCCCTTCCATTACCCAGGGAAGCAAGAACTGCGACGAGGAGCGCTACATCAACGCCTTCGCTCCTCTGCTCAAGGCCGAGGGCTTCCCAGCTCACTTCATTGTTGACACCGGCCGCAGCGGCAAGCAGCCTACTGGCCAGCAGGCTTGGGGAGATTGGTGCAACGTCAAGGGTGCTGGCTTCGGTATCCGTCCTACTACCAACACCGACAACGCGCTTGTCGATGCTTTTGTCTGGGTTAAGCCTGGTGGCGAGGTATGTAACAACTTCGTGAATGACTGAGAAGGAGAATGCTAACGAGGATTTAGTCTGACGGTACTTCCGACCAATCTGCCGCTCGCTACGATGGCTTCTGCGGCAAGGACTCTGCTTTCAAGCCTGCGCCTGAGGCCGGTACTTGGTTCCAGGATTACTTTGCGATGTTACTCCAGAACGCTAGCCCCGCTCTTGCATAGATGGTTGACTAGTAGGACACGTAGTTCCTTCATCCAGGCTTTTGTCAGAAGGGAGGTTGTCAAGACGATGCACTGTATATAGCCGCGATCGCATCTCGCTCGTTCCAGGTTCGTGGGAACTGTATATATCAATCAACGTGTACATGATCATGGTGCATGTATCCAATATATGACTAAGTGTCCGACATGGTGATGGGTGGTGTAACGGTAATGCCGCCCGCGTGGGGGCTGGACTCGGGAAGCCACATGTCTTGGCAGGGCGCAGGCGAGCAAAGGATCAGCCGTTGCGCGAGTACTACCACGCCCCGCCAAACCTTCTTTGCCCTTTGACGTCCCGACCTACATCATCCTTTGCGCGCATCGCTCTCTTTACACGTGCGACCGCCTGACGCTCGTTCCCCTCCCAGCGCACCCTCTGCGCCCACCACTCACCCATGCGGCCCCGGTTCTATCGATAAGGCAGCGGAGAGGGCAATGCAACGCCCCAAGCTTTCACCTCTGCAGTCGCGACTGCTCGCATACCTCGTCGCTACTGGCGCCTGTATTGCGCTATGGACGCCTTCGCTACCTCTTGTCCACGCCGCCGAAGTTCTTGCGACACCTGATCACGACGCCCTTGACAGCCTCGCGCTGCACGCCTTTACCGGCGGAGAAGTACCACACATTGGAGATGGGGGATTCGATCAAGGAGAGAGCGATGGCTACGAGCCGGAGTTCAGCTATCTCGACCGAAGCCTGATTGGACGGCAGACAGAAGCGCCGGAGCCGCTGAAGAATAACGAGAAGACGGAAAAGGATATCGATCCCGAAACGACGTTACACTTTGTGTTTGAGAAGGGTCAATTGCGCCTGAGGAGTGTGCTTGATGTTCCCTTGGATGCTCTGGAAGCACGGGGAACAGATAACGCCTCTGACGAAGCTGGCTTGGAAGATGCGACAGTACCTGGAATGGTAGGCGATGTTGGTGACGGTGAGATGGGAGAGCTGGCAAAGCGACAGGCTGACAGTAGTCGCGTCTGGCTCACGGCCAATACCTGCCGCCAGCCTATGCCGAACGGAGACGCGAAGGAGGCAAGGAAGAACCACCCGCAGCTGGTCATGTACGTTTCTACATCGCCGCGTAACAAGCAACCAGGCCCAGATGCGACGCAAGATACCCTCACCAATATCACGGGCGTGCTTTTCGATGGCGGCTACGCCAGCTTCGAGCTCAACACCACTTCGGATGTGTACATTGGTATCGGAGCGCCCAAGCTCGAGGAGGACTGGTTTGGCAGCTGGCACTTTGAACTCGCCGCAAGCACAGACGGACCTTACCATAGCTACGACGACGCGACACCCTTCCTCTACATGATCGACACGGACAGCGAGTCCACCCTCTTCATATCACAGAACTTGAGCAGTTCGAACGACACAGTGGAGGTCGATAGATGGAGGGCGCAAAACCCCTTCCACATGTACGCCTTCCCAGACGGCGAATGGACACCAGTCACGGGCCTGGAACGCTCTTACTGTGCGCTTAAGGAGCAGTTCAATGTCAACGCGACAAGGAACTTCACCATCGACACAAGCATCACGACCAAGTTCAATAAGATTGGCGGTGACGACAACATGCCCAAGAGCCAATTCCATGTCAGGAACCTGCAGAGTGCGAAGACATACAACGGATTCGTCGTCATTGAGGGGAGCCAACAGCCACTCACCATCCCTGGTACGGGCACGACGAGAGGCGGAGGCAGGGTCTTTCAGGCTTTTAACTGGACGACCAAAGCTGGTGAGTGAACCCCACTGCTATGTACAGGGACATGCTAACGATGCGTGAAGATGACTCCTGCCAAGTCCTCTTCGACCTCGAATTCTGCGACATGGTCGCCTACGCCGTCCCCTCCAACACAAAGTTCAAGCTCAACGACTCCGCCCTTGCCGAGATCTACGAGAATCAAGCTCGCACATACTACGACAACTTCAACAAGTCTCTAGCGCAAGTCGCTTGCGACACAGTCTCCGAAGCCCAATACTCCCTCGCCGTAACCTGCGACGACTGCGCCAAAACCTACAAAAACTGGCTCTGCATGGTCCTCATGCCCCGCTGCGAAGACTGGACCGCAACCGACCCTTCCCTCGTACCACGCAACATCAAAACGCCCTTCGCCAACGGCTCGCTCCCGGATATGATACCCGGTTTCAACGACAGCGCTGCGTTTAGCCAGTCGAGAAACCCGAACATCGACAAGGAGATTGACCCGGGCCCGTACAAGGAGCTGAAGCCGTGCGAAGACATGTGCTTTGATATTGTGAGGAGCTGCCCGGCGCAGATGGGCTTTGCGTGTCCGAATGGCGTGCAGAGGATGGGCATGTATGGGGTTAGGGATGAGAATCCGGATCGGTTGACGTGTAGTTTTCCTGGTGCGGTTGTTAAGTTGAATGCGAAGGGTGGGGTGGGGGTGGTGGGTGTAAGTCTAGCGACTATTACGGGTGTTGCGGGTTTGGTTGCGGTTATGTTGTTGGCCTGAGATGGCATGTTCGACATCATGCAGTTCGCTTCACCTATGGTTGTGATTCCCAGCGACAGGCATTCTTGTGGCGTTGAAGCGAAAGTCAAATCTCATTCCATGCTTTCCTTTCTCACACTCTGCGCGCAAAGGGTGACGCCGGTATGCGGGGTGTGCAACTACCCACCATTACGACTTTTGCTAGTTTGGTCGCAGCAATGGCATCGTTGTACATCTAAGTCCCATGATCTCCACCACGCAGTTCGCTTCTATAGCTATGATTCCCGTGGCGGCGTTCTTGTAGCGTTGGAGCGAAAGTCAAATCTCATTCCATCCTTCCATCCCCTATACACTGAACTCCAACCTATTCCCCGCAAAGTCCCTCGCAAAGAACCTCGTCGGATACTCTACTCCCTCCGCCCCACTATTCTTCGCACCAGGCCTGTCTGCTTCCAACGGTGCAGCCTCTCCACCCCGCTCATGATGCTTCCATACTTTTACTCTCAGCTCGTTCAGCGCTTCTATACTGCCGACCCGGAAACAAGGATGTTGTGATGAAGAATGCGTGAAATCTTCACGCTTGCCGATCGCGATGTGAACTTGCTGACCGGATTCGCCGATGTCAAACCACGCGAGCGTTTCGCGTTGTAAGTGTGGTACTGCGCGTGGTGTTAGGCCGAGGGTTGTGGCGTAGAAGGAGGTGGCTAGGTGGAGTGTGTTTTGCGGGACTACGAGGTTGATGTGGTGGATGCCGGTTATCATGGTGGTTGTGGAATGGATGCGCGTTGGTTCTGTTTGGGAGGGGAGTTGCTGATGGGGTGGTGGGAGACTTGGCGCGGAGGGATGGGTGAATGCTAACTGCGGGGTGAAGATCAACCGAGCTAGCGGCCCGTTGAAGACGACGTCTTGTCCCACATCGAACTTCGCCTCTTCACGCGCAGTCTCATCACGCTTGCGGACACATGCACTTACGATCAGTCGACAGAAGCCAACATGTTGTAACGTCATCGTTCTCCTCACTTAGCCTTCGCCATCTAAGCTTGGAACGTTACAGCGGGCAAAGTCGTTATCACAGCGCGATAACGTATCAAAAAAAGAAGGTTTACCAGACGTTAAGAAGCATACAAACCAGCCTCGGATGTAAGATAGAAGAAAATCATCTTATTGGGTCGACAAAGGTTACTTGTCAGTAAACCCACGATTCATGATTGATGTTGCACCAGCATCATCGTGAAACGGCCCACATGGTGGCTGCCGAGGCCCGGATCGCAACGTCGCATCGTCGACATGGATGCGCTAGCCCTACGGGATTCTGATTAATTACCTGACGTTCGCAGCTCTCAAAAGACCGTGGCTGGTAAATGAAGGATGCTTGGAATTTTTAGCGGATGATGCCATCTTGCACATTTCGATCGCTGGCGAGTTCCAGAACATGCAAGGCATTGAATAGCAGCAAGCCAGCCGAGCCAACATGGCTTGTTGAGAAACAGCGACGCAAAGGTTGCGTTTGCAGACGTTTTTGACAGCGGAATCTTTTGCGTGAACCACTCCGAAAGACTGTGTTTAGCTCAGATCGTACATTCGGCGCCCAAGGTGTGGGCGAAGTACTGTCGCATGTCTGGACGCGATGCGATGCGGGATGTCGAAGGGGATATCGCGCACAACATCCAAAACTCATGACATGTACCACATGTCGCGGTTGCTACAGCCCCTACCATCCCATCCGCCGCTAGCGCAACGGAAATCCTGCTCGGTGATCGAGACCGTCACTGCAGACTGGAGTCATGCGCCCACATCCATCCTTGATCGCAGAAACAATCGCTTTCCTCCTCCCAATCGCATGCCAGCAAAACACGAAACACGCAGAGATCACCCGACCAATTCAGTAATCAGATATGGAGACATCCGGATCATGGCTACGGTTCCCTGTACACATCAGCCTTCTTCCCGCAAACGGGGCCACGGACTCCACAATAACGTCCCGAGGTCGCGTTGATGGACAACGCCATGGCATTCCTTTCATCACATCTCGCCGCAGAAGCAATGTTTCGAAACCCCACAGGCGCAACGCGCTGCGATGGTGCTCCGAGGAAGTCAGCCGTGGAAGTTCTGTATAAGATGGAGGTTTCCAACAGAGGTTTGATGGGCATCGACTTCGATCCGCACTTTCGCTTCCATCTCTACTACATTCGCTTTCCGCGCCTGTCTTATTCTTTGTTGTGCTGTGCACATACATTCTTTTCTTCAAACGACTTGCTCTATACAGATACAGACGACTCTTTGAACGATACCGCAAGATGAAGTTCTACGCCGCTCAAGCTTTCGCTCTTGCTAGCATTGCAACTGCTTTCCCGCATCCCCAGCTCCCTTCTTTACCATCCTTCTCGCTTCCGACTGGTGGATCAGGCTCTGGTCTTGGTGGCCTTGGTGGACTTGGTGGAGGCTCGGGACTGGGTGGCCTTGGTGGAGGATCAGGAATTAGCCTCCCAACCAACATCCCCTCTCTCGGAGGTGGAGGCTCAGGACTTGGTGGACTTGGTGGAGGCTCGGGACTTGGTGGTCTTGGTGGCCTTGGTGGAGGATCAGGATTCAGCTTGCCAACCGGCATCCCCTCCCTCGGAGGTGGAGGTCTCTCACTTCCGACCAGCCTTCCCAGCCTAGGTGGAGGCAGCTCCGGTACAGGTGGCTCGGGGTTGAGCAGCTGGCTCAGCGGCCTAGGTGGAGGCTCCAGTGGAGGTTCCAGTGGAGGGCTCGGGGGTCTCTCGGGTCTCAGTGGCCTCGGAGGTCTCGGAGGCGGTGCTGGTGGTGCTACAACAACAGCCGACGCCGCCATTCCCGCACCTTCGAAGACCGATGCCGCTGAAGCACCCGCCGCAACGGGCGGAGGCAACACTGGCGGCGCCGGCACGATCGGCACAGACTGCAAGCCGCAATCCGGATCGTCCAACGCCTTTGGAGGAAGCGAAAACGGGATCGTGGACAAGAGCTGCTGCACCGACATGACCATCGTATTCGCACGTGGTACGGGAGAGATGGGCAACGTCGGATCCGTGTCCGGACCACCCATGTTCAAGGCTATCCGCCAGAAGCTGGGTAACGACCGTGTCACCGTTCAGGGTGTTGACTACGCTGCCTCTGCCGCTGGTAACGCCAACCTCGGTGGCGACGGTGGTCAGAAGATGGCGGATCTGGTCAAGCAGGCCAAGTCTCAATGCCCTGACACCAAGGTCATTGTATCGGGCTACTCTCAAGGTGCCATGGTCGTTCACAATGCTTTCAGCAAGGGCATTTCTGCTGCTGATGTTAGCGGTGCTGTCATGTTCGGAGACCCATTGAAGCGCCAGGCTATCAGCGGTCTTTCAGCTGACAAGATCAAGCAGTTCTGTGGTACTGCTGATCAGATCTGCGGCGGTGGTGGTGATGGCGGTGCTACTGGGAGCCATCTCAGCTACGGCAGCAGTGCGGATGCGGCGGCTTCCTTCGCTATTCAGGCCGCTGGGCTTGCTTAGGCGCATCGAGGTTGTCTTGTAAACTCGCATTGCTGGTCCGTGTGAGCTACAAGACGAGACATACGCGATTGTTGAGGCTGGTGCGATAGTAAGCTGGAGTACATTCAAATGTAGATACTTGACCACTCGTTGTCACTCTATCAATTCTTTGACTCATCCTTCACTACTCTCATTCACAGTGGTACCGACCTGGGATGCGCAAGTCCGCGCTTTTTCTTCATATGTCTATTTCAACGTGCCATAATACCTACATTATGCTATCACCCCATCCGACATCTCCATTCCAGCCTCCGCATACGTCCAGTACCCTCGCTCCAATCCCACCACCTCAATCCTTGACAACCTTCCCAACGATCCACCCCTCAGCGTATCTCTTCCCCGTCGCCGCCTCCGGAATCTCCACTTTGAACCCCTTACCAACACTACCCCTACCCTCCCCCTCCTTACCACCACCATCCCCAACAACAACAACAAGATCCTTAACCTCCTTAACCGCCAAACCCAAACTCACACAACTCGCCACCATCCTCCTAACCTCATCCTCCCAACTCGCCTTCACACCGTCCGCCTTCGCCGTGCCTACACCCAACCTCTTGTATTCTGCAAACGCCATTTTCGCCGCCTTGATATGCTCATCGACTTCCTGCCAGAGCTGGCTATCCTTATCTTGAATATCCTTGACAAAAGCCTCGGGTGGGGGTTCGGAAGCAGACGGCATCGGTCCGTAAGGCTGGCTATACGCTTTGAAGTCGTCGAATGGCGGTGCTTCAGGTGGTTGCAAGGCGAGGAAAGGTTTCATCCTGAGTTCATAGCGGAGCTTTTCTGTGGAGAAGGGAGTGCGGCGGGGCATGGGTAGTTTACCCAGATAGCCGCAGATGACGTAGAAGCGGGCGAGAGCCAAGGCCAACGATGCTGTTCCTTCTGTCTCAGCGAGCAGGGAGTCTAGGAAGGGTGACGCTTCCTCCACGTCTTGAACTTCTCTGAACCGTCGCGATTTGAGAAGCTCGGTGGAGATACTGAGGTAGTGTGCTTCCACCCTCTTGAGCAACTCCTTCCGTCGTGTAGCGATGAGCGAGAGGAAGAGGTACATGCCCGCGTATTCATCCGGCAGGTAGATGTCCTGTTCGAATCCGAGTAAGATGACCTTTTCTATCATCCAGAGCTTCTTGTGGTAGACCCAGGTAGAGAGGGAGAATTCCATGACTTGGGCACTCTGACCGAGAGTCGCAGCCGCGGAGGAGATGTCCATGTCGATTGAGCTTGCGTCGGCTTGCAGGAGGTCCCAGCCTGTAATGACGTGTGTCAACATACGTCTCAGTCGACAACGGTTCTGGCCCATGGCGACCCAGAGATCGAGGTAGGCTTGGCCGGCGCGGTCTACGAATTCGTCGATGAGCATTGCGAATTGGAGGCGTGGGGGCTTGGGGATCAGGGCATTGCGTGGTGGTGACATTGTCCAGTTGATGGGGTCTATGACGGGTGAAGATGGAAACACGAGTGTCTTTACGTCGGCGAGAGGGAGGGAGACGGAGGCGTTGAGGACGTCAGGATGGAAGAGTAAAGTTGCTAGGTAGGAGCGGGCGTATGTCAGTGGCGGGGGTGAGCGAGCAGAGAAGTGCCAGAGGAAGGATTGGTATTCGAGGGGGTCCTGGGGCAGAGCGGGGAAGCGCGTGGCTTCGGCGCAATCAGTAGCTATCTGATGTAGCTTCTCCAACGCATCCATGAAGTCGAGTTCTACGACTGGTCGTGGGGGAACTGTAGAGGCGAGACGACGTTGCATCTTCGGACTGAAAGCACCAGGCACGGTCTTCCCAAGCTGATGCGTATTCTTCAGCGAATTGATACCTTGGAGGATCGGTGGCCATGAATAGGATATCTGATCGAGCGGTAGATCCAAGTCAAGGGCGCGAAGGAAGTCTTTCCGGAGTTCTAATCGTGAACTGATTGCCTTCCGGAGCGCATCATTGATCTCAAATTCGGGACTACGATGTGTTAGCAGGCCGTCGACTGTCCAGTCCGCGGTGGAGCATACTCTTCAATCGTCTCCATCGCCGCATCCAACTCCCTCAAAAACACATCCATCGGTACACTAACAAACAGCACCCGATTATAAGTATGTGTGCAAAAGTCCTCCTCTTCAAAGTAATCCCTGCCCGTAATCTTCGCAATCACAAAGTCGCATCCTTTGATCAACGCTAGACAATACGCTCTGAGCACGTCCAGCAACGGTCCAGGTCGTCTCTCATGCAGGAT